CATTGCCATCTTTTTTTTTGTCTTTTGTGCATGTGGAGAGTAGTGCAGCGAGGCCCGTAGTCATGCCTTCTTTTACTTGGGAAAAAACGCAGAGGGTTATGGCTATGCACTGTGCAGTACTATGGACTCGTATCGATCCTCTCCATTCTAGGGAGTGACAGCCCTGTTCCTCTTCAACCAACAAGTCGTCGTGAGAACATTGATGAGTATACAAAATTACAAATCGTACGGCATTTAATTGTATTGTACATTATGACCAATTCCATTGATGCTTTGAATTGCTTTCCCTTTGCCAACTAAAAACAAAGGTGCATTGCTATTCGATCACAAGATTCACCACCAACCTTATGCTATGATCACTCATTGCCTTGGTGTCTTCTTTTTCATTCACACCCCAGACCTCGCACGGAGTGGTGATTAGTTCCTTACCTACATCGGTTTGGTCAGACCCGCTCAAAGGTATCCTACAACAAGCATCGTCCGCGCAGACTCGGCAGAGCTATCTGATTGGTTGGCTACATCCACCCCTCTGCCTCGGCCTGCAAGTGCGAGGGCGTTTTCTCCTACGTGCACCTTTCCTTCACCGACAATCGCACCCCAAGTAGACGCGGTTTCTACTTCTCCTGCCCATTTCGTTTTTACTGTTGCTGCTCATGATGCTGCTGTAGTGCCGGCTGGTTCTGCTCGGCGCTGCTGCCACTCAGACTCCACCACGAGGGAAATAATGTGGCTTTCCTTGCCACACTTGAAATGATGTGGCTTTCCTTCCACTGGGCGTTGCCGCCACTGAGACTCTCGGGCAGGTTCATTTTCTTTCAAGGAGGCTGATGTTATGAACCTCCCTCATACCCAGGTGGGTGTGGTGGGAGCCCTCCATGGACCACGAGGAGGTCGGGACCGGCCTCCCTCCTCCTTGCTGTGGCCGTCCTTGCCAACTGCCTTCTTGCCCTCGTGGTTGGGAGATTCCTTCCCACACCACCTCTTCCTTGTGGCCCTCTCTGAACGGGCCGCCGCAACCGCAGCGTAATCCGCTCCCTAAGTGGACCCGCCATTGTCATCGTCCTGCATTTCATCTACAGCCACTAACTTCGCTTCTCTTTCCTCAAAGGACACAAATACATGGTCTCTGGCTCTCTAACATTGCTGACATTTTCCACCGCCCCCCCCCCCCCCCCCCCCCCCCCCCTCCTTAAACATATTAGTATATTACCCTTTTTGAGTTCCAAAGCGGCAGGAAGACCGTGTAGTTGCTGCAGTGTTTCTGACAGTTGGGCCCACTCACTGTACTTCCTATAGGCGAACCTTTCCAGGCCCATCTCTGCAGCAGCTAGCATTGAGCTAATGGATTGAAGCATAGCTACCGGTAGGCGAATCCGATTCAATTGTTGCACCGGTGTGACCCCATGAACCTGCTTCCCAATTAGGTAGTCCATCCGGCAGAACAAAGCTTTCTGCGCGGCACCACTTAGTCCTATAACTCCTATTGAGTATCCATGACCTGGTACACCGACGTCTTAACCTCTCATCCTTGTTGCCTTCTTTCTTCCTCTTCGGCAGCCTGCTCTCTAACTTAGAAAATAATGCCTCCTGGAAATCTGCAAGTTTGGTGTTGAAGGCCTATTGTACAATTTGTACCCTCTCCTCAGTACTCTCATTCAGGGTTGCCTTTATTTATTTATTTATTTATTTATTTTAAATTATTTATTCATTTAAATTTTAAACACAGGGTTACCAAACTAATGTCGAGGGCACTGACGTTTTGGTTGACTCGAATGTGGTCCTGCTTCATCATATTTGTCATCCGATGATACTGAACAATTCTCCGCCCACCTCCTCTCCCAGGTCTCTCCATCCACCACCTTCCCCATCTCAGCAACCACCTCCTTCCCCCTTCTCTCCACCCACCTCCTCCCCCATCTCAGCATCCACCTCCTTCCCCATCTCAGCAACTTACAGTCGATATCTTCATACTCTTCCCATCCCTCCCATGACATTATGCAAGCGCAGTACAGCCCCATTGCCACAAAAAAAGGCTTTCTTGCTTGGCATTGCCCCCCGCAAGCCCCCCTCCAAGGCGGCTCGCCCGCGGCTGCCGGGCCAGATGGGCCAGGTAACCCACATGTCCAAAAAATTCTCAGTGAATATGAGCACATGAGGTGAACACTGTGAAATGGATTGTTTTTTTTTTTTTTTTTTTAACACTGAAATGGAATGATGTTCTTAACCTCCACGTCAATATGTTAACATTTTAAAAAACGTCAAATTTAAGATGACCTTGTCCTGTACCTTTCTCGGCCTTTTGGCTAAAAATAGATCGAGTGAAATGTATCTGTTCTG